CCCTGTGGTAAACTGTTGCTGATGAATCGGCCTGCTTATTTTACCATCAAGGCAAACTCTGAGCTTGTGGTTTGATAAGATATTAAACAGTATTGCAATAATCTTTTTGTACCAGATAGTCTTTATCAATGTAACTGTAAGGCCCCTTATCCATACTGTGTCATAAGCCAAAGTGAGATTAATAAAGGTTACTCTGGTCTTCTGTCTTCTTTGGAATCTCACTTCAGTAAAGGAGGTGAGAGTGAGAACTTGATCACAGGAGCTCCTCCTTGGTCCAAAGGCTGCCTGGTCTGAAGAAAGCCTGGGCTCCAGGATAGGGCTAATTCTCGACAAGAGCACTCTTTCAAAGAGTATGCATATGGGATGCTACCATGCCCCTATTTGGGAATATTCGGGCCCGCTTTCAAAAGGCATTAAAGGAGACATCTGTGATAGTCATCTACAGCAAAGAACTAAAAAGTCCTCTTCTCTGTCCACTTCCCTTCCCAGCCCTGTGATGTGTGACTACCAAGGGGAGCTGAGTCTAGGGACAGAGCAACATTACTGACCTATTCCTCTTGCTGGGATAAATGGTTTACAGGCATTGGATGACACTAAACTATTGCAGGAGGTTTTTGCCTTGATTACCAAATGGCAGTTGACACTCCAGTCATTTCAGAAAAATCCCACAAACAGTCTGACATCCTGCCAGCTTCTGATTCTGCTAGGGTTATCCTTCCCCATTAAAGGAATACCATACCCTGCTAAAATCCTGTGCCAGGCATGAGACTTAACACCAATATTGAAACAAATCAAGAAGTGAGGGATTTTGGGGTGGCTAATCCACCCTGTAGTCACCCCTTTAGCACTGCCCCCGCCCACTCCTAATATAGCAAATTTAATAATGATTTTACCAAACAATATGAAGAAGAGTTATAGCAGATTATAGACTGACAGTAGGTAATCATGCAGATTAACTTCTTCCTCTTACTATAATTTCCCTTTTAGATGAAATATTCAGATCTTATCCTGTAATTACAGTTGTTAAATTTGGGACTATATGACTCGGATTACTTAACCTAAACTGGGCTTTTCTCACTGATCTATTTTCTTTTTACTGTGTTAGACATTCTTAATACCGTCAGCGAACTGTCCGTTCACGCCTAATACTCTGCATCTTGATGAGAAACTCTCTTAGAATCAATTTCTTGTTAAACCAGCTCAGTGTTCAGATACTCATATTTGTCAGGCCTCATCCTTCTTCACTCATTTTTACAGGGGAAAAAAATCTTTATCTTACTGTTATGTTTCCGCTTACCAGGAAGAGGAGGCAGAAAGTGTTTTTCATCTGTTTTTTCCCCTTCTCATCGGTCTGGAATGTTGAACTACTGTCCCTGGTGAGCTATAGAAAATTAAAATGATCACCTGGCCACAGTTTAATTTGTAAAAGGAGGAAGAGGCCACTGTGGCCAAACAGCACTCCTAATAGGCTGTTTTATTGTGTTCTTTTTGTAGCACCTCTTTCTGTCTTCTCCTCCCCCTCCTTCATCTTCTCCTCCTCCCCCATTCCTATGGAAAAATCCACTGTACTGAGCTGACATGAGAAGTGGTTAGACAAGGGAAAAGATGTTTTAGCTTATATCCGTGTACAGCACTTGAGAACATGAGAGAGGCAAAGGAGTTCTAGCTTACAGATGATGCAGAGAATGCTGGAGTATTTAATGCCTTTTTAAATTTAGTCTTCACAACTAGGGGTAGCAGAGATAGGGAAGGAGACAAGCAACCTAGGGTAGTGGCAGAATAGATCAGGGATTACTGGGAGAAACTAGGTGCTTTTCAGTGGGCCGGGCCAATGGGATACGCCCTAAAGTATGGGAAGAATTGGCTGAGGTAATTTTGAAGCCATTGGCTGTGCTTGTTGAGAACTTGTGGATGGTGGGTGAGGTTTGGGATGACAGGAAAAGGGCAAATATAATGCCCATCAGGAAGAAAGAGAAGAAGGAGGATCTAGGGAATACAGACCGGTCAGCCTGAATCCAGTCCCTGGAAAGATCATGGAGCAAGTGCTCAAGCAATCTATTGTGAAGACCTAGAAGAGAACAAGGTGATCAGGAGCAACCAACATATGTTTACTAAGAGCAAGTCGTGCTTGACCAACCTTATTTCCTTCTTTGATAAGGTGTCCAGCTCTGGATGGGAGGAGAACAGTGGGTGTGATGTACCTTGACTTTTGCTAGGCTTTTGATGTCATCTCTCATTACATTTTCATTAACAAGCTACAGGTTAGCTGAAAGTACTGTAAGGTTAACACATAACTAGTTGGATCATTGTGTTCAATGAGCAGTCATCAATGACTCAGCATGTAGTTGGGAAGAGGTATCGAGTGGGCTTGTTCAGGGGTCTGTCCTGGGTCTGGTATTATTTAATATCTTTATATGGTTAGATGCCTTGGGAGCATAATTTATGAGGATAGGCTGAAATAACTAGGGTTATTTAGTCTGGAGAAGAGAAGACTGAGGGGGGATTTGATAAGTCTTGAAATGCCTGAAGGGCAATTACAGGGAAAATAGAGATTGGCTTTTTTCTGGCCACAGAGTACAGGATTAGAAGCAATGGCCTCAAGCTGCAACAGAGGAATTTTAGGTTGGAGATTAGGAGGAGCTTCCAGACTATCAGGGTGGTCTGTCATTGGAATATGCGCTCTGGAGAAGTTGTGGAATTTCCATCCCTGGAAATGTTCAAGGGCAGGTTGGACAGACCCTTGGCTGGGATGGTTTAATGGGGGATGAGGTAGGCACCCCCAGTCTGAGCAGGGGCTGGACCTTGTGGGGTCCCTTCCAGCTCTCTTTTACTATGATCCTATGGTTAAGAAGGAATAAAATGGAGATTTTAATAGAATTATAGAAAATTAGAGTTGGAAGGGGGTCAGGAGGTCATCTAGTCCCAACCCCCTGCTCAAAGTAGGACCATTCTCAACTAGATCATTTTAGCCAGGGCTTCATTGAGCCGGGCCTTAAAAACCTCCAAGCATGGAGATTCTGCCACACCTCTGGGTAACCCGTTCCAGTGCTTCACCATCCGCCTAGTGAGAGGTTTTTTTCCCCCTAATATCCAACCTAAGCTACCCTTGTTGTACCTTGTTGTACCTTGAGACCCTTGCTCCTTGTTCTGTCATCTGCCACCACTGAGAACAGTTTAACTCCATCCTCTTTGTAACCAACCTTTGTTCATTTTTCAGCTTCTAAATTCTAGTTCCTGGATGAATGTGGAAATCTCTTTCTCTGCCTCGTTCTCAAAAAATGCGTATAGAAATAGAGATCTTTAATTCTAGAATTTCTCTCTCATGCTAATTTCCCACCATCATATCTATACACAAAATCTTGAGAAGTATGTTGGGCCTTATCTAGTGCTTTAAGAGCCAATAGATTGGTGTGCCAAAGGAATGAGATCCATATTTTTTTCTGTGGTTCCTATAAAGCACTGTTTAAATTCTGATGACTTGGTTCCCTTTTGAAGAATCCTTTAATGTACAAATGGTACAGTCTATGCCATTATGAATAAAAACCTTCTTTAAGATGCTCCCAGGCAAACCGTCACATTTGTTTTATGTATTTGTAGCCTGGCCAATGATGGTCATCACTATAGTATGTAAATGCCTAAAAATATTAATGAATTCATGGATGAGAACTGAAGCAATGAAAAGCTGCATGATTTTGCTCAAGGTCATACAGGGACTTGCCGAAACAGGATTTTAGCTGAGATCTTTTGTGTCTGTTTATGGTCTGAATATTATGTCAGAAAAAGTAGTTAATCACTAGATGTCACTGTTGGCAACAATGTGTCATTTTTCATACTTGCCATTTTCCCCCCATAACTTTGAATGTTTCATATCTGTTTACTCTTTATACTGGTTGCATAATTTTACTAATTGCTTTTGTTATAATTACTTTAGAGTGCCTGTTGCTGGTATTTGGGTGCAGTTCAGGTCTTACTTGACAGCACATAATCGACAACATTTTATTTTTAGTTCCTTTGTTTTGTTGGTTGCCAAACCACATTGTTGTACAATTTATTGCCTGCATTTATTTGAGCAATTCTTTGCATTATATCAGTGCTCATTGAGTGCATTGGGTAATTTCACTTTGTAAATTATCTTAATGATATATTTCCAGCGAATAGTAATGGAATGTATCATGCTATTTTTCTTATAACTTGACATTTTTGAGTCATTTTAATGTCTATGGGAAGAGGACACAAGTGGCTAGAGTTATTCCTGGTGGTGGGTCATTGGTATACAAGCTCCCCCACAGATACCTTCTAGTGTAGGGTAAGAATGATCTATAGCATCCCTAATATTCCAGTGCCTAACTGCATCAGCCGTAATAGGTGACACAGGCATCTTTTACTTTGAGTTTGTTTGTTAAGAGGTAGAACCTTCAACTTAAATAACCCCCCAGCCACCAAAATAACAAACTGAAGATGCTTCAAAATTACAGTTCATTGATTTTTTTTTTTTTCCTTTGGTATTGAATTTGTTTAGTTTCTTGGTGATGGAAAGCATGTGAGAATCTCTATGCTTACTAGTGCATGTCCTGTCCCCTGGTTGGAAGGATTATATGATTAAACGCTAGTTAGTTTAGCTCATTTAGGTTGCATTCTGGAGTGCGAAAAGTGCATATTGTATGCACCCTTCTGATTCAATAGCAGTCATCTAACTTTTTTTTTTTCCCTGCTGTTTTAATAATTTTTATTTGGGGCATTTGAAGAAACACGTTGTTCTTTCAGCCAGTGTATACCAACCTGCTTCCTTTAGACACCGTTAGATTTAATTTTTTATTTCTGAAAAACAAGTTGGCTAAAACAGAAAATGAAAAATCAAATGAAAATAAAAAGTACTGCAAAATTATAGTGTATATGTATGGCACTTGTATACACATTATGGTATCTGTTTGTTATAAACTTGAAAGTTAGTGCTTTGTTCTTGTGCATATGCTAACAAAATTATATTCTTTTTAATGTAGAAAAACTGTATGGCGATTTCCTCAGTTGGAAGCTAGAAGACACCCTTGCCCAGTTCCCTCTAAAACCAGGGAAGATTGCAACGTTTATTGTAAACATTAAAGTGAAGCTGGACTTCTCCTGTCAGGAAAATCTTCTGCAAGACCTTGATGGTGAGTTATGAACTTATTTTCTGTTTGGAGCATGGGATTTTATTTTGGCAAGGACTCAAAACTCTTGACATATTGGTTCAAAATCAGAGGATGAAGCAAGTGTCTTCTGTTTCTACACTTGTATCGTGCAACCCTGTGGGACAAACCCTATGGGACATGGGTAGGGATTTAGGACTGAATCTTCGTGATTGCTTGTTGACACAAGTCGGAGCTTGTCATGGCCAAAACTTCTCACCCTACTGAGGACTTAAGTTACATTATTTAACTTTTCCCAATGCGGAGTTCTTTCAGAGCGTGTTTTTCTGATGATTTTTGCAATATTTTATTTTTCTTTATTAATTCCTCTTGATGCCAAGTTTCCAAGCACCAGAGGGCTTTAAAAGGAGATGCACACAGTGATGACTTAAGTGTAGCTGGCTATCTCCTGTCTCTAGTTATGCAGTGCATTTGTGGTCTTGTTTATTTGGAACATATGGACTTATTCATCCAGATGAGTTAGTCACACAGATATTGTGGAATTTGCATCCTGCAGAATTCCAATGACTGACTGACTACTGAGAGATGATAAGATGCAATATTTACAGGGAGGGTTTTTATTGTAGTAATTAAGAATCTGTGTGGCATCAAATCAAATAAACAAGAATGCAGCTTTGTGCCTGAATTTTTCGAACTGTCTTATAGATACTAGTGTCAAGTATTCAGTTATTAGAATGCACGTCACAAAATAGAGAAATTGTTCAAATATTAAATATATTTTTAGATGGTGATATTTCAACTGCCTGGTTTATTGTGTTAAAGTAATTAATAAAGGGTCTTAGGAAGAAACAGGAAATGGGTGCATATACATGAGATGTTTACTGCGAAGTAGATTCATTAGTTGTACAATATATGTCACATGTCTACACATGCAAAACTTCTAAATTAAATAATGTACTCTGCAGCAAGATAGCACTTACAAAATTCTTGTAAAACTGGAGTGGGAAAGTACTTGTAAAGGCTGCAGAGTCTTTTTGTGTGTGTGTGTGTAGAAGCTGCCCCAGCTGGCTGGGGCGTGAGGGTGCTTCATTGCGGGGGCTGCCTGCTGGCTAACCCCCACGCTGAAGCACTCTTGTGCCCCAGCCAGCCTCATGGCATGTTGACCTGGAGAAGCAGCACTGGGCTGGCAGGCTGGCCCTTGGGTCCCCTGCCATCTGGGGTGGCTCCAACCCTGCTCCACGTGCTGCGATCTCAGGCGCACATGAAGACATGGCACCTGGGAGTTTATTCATGCACTTCAACATGCATTAATATGCCAGTATATACGCTTCCAACATTGAGTCATCCTAAACAGGATGTTCCTATACCTTAGTGAGTAAAGATAAGGCACATAAAAAATTACTTGAGTTTTATTTCCTGATTTAATTGCCATTATGCATTATGTGCAAGAACTATTTGAAACGGGAATGTTTTCAGAAACGAGAATGACCAACAGAATTATATTTTGTACATAATTTATTTTAAGTGAGAGAGACTGAGCTCTGGATTTGACTTGTGAATTCATTTAGGCAGAATTGATATTAATAATTGATAAAGGCTTAATGATTTCTTATTAAACTTCCCTAGTGTTAAGTACATATCTTTTATATTACCATTTATATGATCAAAATGCTTCTTCTAACACTCAGTACAATAACAATAATTAAAGTTTTGTTAAAATAAATGTTAGCTGAAAAGCTCTGATTACTAATTCATGATTAGTACTGGTCTGAGACTTGTGAGAGAAAATTCTTGGAAAATAACAAGGAGGGAGGGAAAGAAAAGAAATATTAGGCCAATTTCAAATGTTAAAAAAACCCAACCCCAAAACCCACACAATTAGGTCCTCCCAAACTTTGATACTGTGTTTAGCATCCTGACATGTGGTTTTTTAAAATACCGCTAACCTTGATTTCTGTAGGAACTTGGAAATACACCAAATCATATAAGATGTTCAGTAAATGTAACAAAGCATGGCAGTTTTATAGCATGGCAGTCCCAGATTGGGGATGGGGGGGGAGAGGGGACTTGACAGATTTGGCACTTGGAAGAGGTAACGGTCACGCACCTAAGACCAGATGGCATCACTCCATGTCACCTTATCCATTGTTCCAAATTAACTTTCATCCTAGCTGTGTGACCCCTGAATCTCCTTTTCCTACATGCATCCCCCAACAAATTACCTCACTCAGTACTGGAGTGTTATGCCAAAATACACACGCGTGGTGATCACACAGTTCTGGATGAAGCTTTGTGTGTGGCCCAGAAGAGGGAAATAGGAAGCAAAATCCAAAACATGGAAGTGTATCACATTAAGTTGCACGTACTTATTGGTATAGCATTTCTCATGCTACAGTCTAATGTATAGGGAGGGCACTCATGAGGATCTTCTATGGCAGGGGTGGACAAAGCCTTTGTGTGTAGCACATGGTAGATTAGGAAGGGGAGGGAGGCAACACAGTGGCAGATAGGGCAGGGAGCATCAGATCAGGCAGAAAGCAGAGCATCAGATCAGGCAGGGAGCAAAGAGCAGAGCAGTGAATCAGGCAGGGGACAGGGATTGGAGGGCACTAGAGGAGAGTGCAGAACTAATTTGTGGCACATCACCCAAAACAGGTTGGCCCCCACCGGTCTGTGGTTTGGTCCAAAATGCCAGCAAAGATTATCAAGGTTAACCTTGCATCCAGCCAGTCCTGCATTTTAAGCAGTATAGAATCCTTCTGCCAGAACAGATGTCGCTTTTATGAGCTAGTAGTTTAACAGATTCCCTTTTGTTTTATGGGAAAGAGAACGGCTTAGTGCAGTGGTGCTCGAGCATTTGGCTCCACGGGTGAAATAAATGGCGTGAGGGTGGTCCATGGGCTGGATTAAGCACCATGCATCAGGATTGGGCCCTGGGCTGCCTGTACCTGGCTCTGCATGGCCTCAGCTGCTTCCCATGTGCTGTGATCAGTGTTCCCCTCCTGCCAAATTTACAGACCTGTGTGGAGCCCTGTGGACTGCATGCCACACTTCCAGGGTCCAGGAATGGCCCACAGGCCCTGGGTTTATCACCCATGGACTGGTGGATTGAGAACTGGACCCAGCCTTGGACACCTGGGGTCTCTTCCTTGCTTTGCCAGTGGCCTATGGGGTGATGTTGGGCAAATTACTTTCCCTTTGTGTGCCTCAATTTCCCCACCTATACAATAATTATAATGGAAGTGCTTTGTCAAATGTTTTGGATTTCTACTGATAAAAAACATTATAAAAGGGCATTGTGGTATTACTCTTGTTTTATATATGCAATTATGCTGGCTTTTTCACACAGTTCTGAAATTTCCCCAAGAAGCACCCTTACCTCCCATGTCTCTCAGGCACTCAAAAAGGCAACACCAACTAAGCTTGTTCACAAGTGAAGTTTCAGTCAATTTTGAAACTATGAAACTTTACGGTATGAGCCTGAGCTTCAAGTACAACTAGAACCCTAATAGCAGTGTTACTGTGTCGTTTCTCTAAAACAGAATTGCTATCGAGTACTAATTGAAGCCTGGAGTCAGTAGCATGGCTAAGGGAGCGTGGGGTGTGATCAGGGCACCAGACATGGGGATCGAATTGTGGTGTGGGGGGACGCAGGGTGAGACAGCAAAAATAGCAGCTACCTCCCTGCTGGTCTGGCCACAGCTGCTGCTCCATGTGCCGCCACCACGGAGAGCTCCAAACTTCTTAGTTATGGCTCTGCCTGCAGTGAGCAGGCCCAATTCCTCCTTAATAATGAAAGAGGGCCATAGTAAAAACAGTTACCATTTCCTAAGAGCCTGGATCTCTTTGGATGACTGATACTGTACTCAATCAAATATTAATACGAATACTGGTTGAATTTCAAACTGATACAACACCACCTTTTGCATGCTGCTGTAATTTTAGTATAGGTTTTAAAATTCACAGTTACAAGAATCGGAAAAGTCAGAGGCAGCTGTGGCATGGCCTTTATTGATAGTGCCGCTAGAGTGAGTGCATTATCTTCTTTCCTTTTAAAAATTAAATTTACAGGTGATCCAAATATTTTCATCTTTTAAACAAAAGCCATGTCCTTAGCAGCACATTTATTACTTTAATCTGTTTTCATTTGGTGCCACAACTGCTTCCATTAACACCGTTTAATACTTTATAATGGAGATTTAGCACAAAAAGGACAGATTACACACTGCAGTTATTATACAACTATATATTTGGGGAAAAAAATTATCCAACAAAATAGTAGCTGTAATTCTTTTCTGTTAGAGTTTTTCAGCTCATGTTCTTACAGCTTAAATGGAAACTGCAGTGATTACTTATTCATCGGCAAGTTAAGTACTTGCATGTTTATTTTGAAAATGAATTTTCTAAATGCTTTTTAGCCTCTGTTTTGCCTTTAGAATTGTTGGATGGTGGCTTATTTGGGCTGCTATTATTTGTGTGCCTCCTACCCTGGGCTTCAGTCATTATGCACAAAGTAAGACTTGAAGATTTCACTTGCTCTCATTTTTTAAATGTGTGGAAGATGGATCTCATTACACTTTGTCAAACATCTTTCACTTGTTCGTTGCAATTATGAGCATGTTTGATAGGCAAAAAAAGGTATAAATATATTACAATTAGATTTATTTTCCTAAGCTGTTTGACTTTAATACTACAGAATATTCTCACTTAAAAAATTGGAACCATACAGTATGAATTTTAAAAAGCACCATTCTGTATGAATAGAGCATATATTAAATAGGTTAAGAACTGATTAGCTGATTTCCCAAAGTATCCATTTATTGGAAGTGTCATCAAATGGGAGGGTTCTGCATGGTTTAGTACTAGTTCGGACATTTTCATCAATGCAAGTTGTATCTCCAGGGATTTTATGTTTAACTTGAAGATGACATAAATGTTGGTGAAACAGTAAATGATAGCAGTCATGCAGAACTATCTAGATTGTTTAGTAAACTGAGAAGACTTAAACAAATATGTTAATAAAG